ATTTGACCCCTGTGACCTTGAAAGTAGGTCAAGGTCATTTTCATTCTCAAACTTTGTTGGGCTCTATCCCAGGAAGCCATCAGCCAAATATGAAGATTCTATACCTTTTAGTTCTTTAGAAGAAGTTGTTTGAAGTTTTTGACATATTTGACCCCTGTGACCTTGAAAACAGGTCAAGGTCATTTTCGTTCTCAAACTCTGTAGGGCTCCTACAAACGAAGCTTTCAGCCAAATATCATGACTCTAGGCCAGTTGTTTAAAGGAAAAGTTGACGGACGAGGACGGACAGACGGACGACGGACGGACGACGGACGCCGCGCCACGGCATAAGCTCACTTGGCACTTCGTGCCAGGTGAGCTAATAAACTGTAGTAAAGTTTACCCCCTCCCCAGGGGGAAATGTGAGACCCCAGGGTCATGAAATTCACAATTTTGGCAAAGCACCTTAAGACCCTTCCATCTATGAAGAGTATTTGATTCTACCATATCTGGGTATTGAGAAGAAGATTTTTGAAATTTTAGTCAATTCAACCCTTTTTGGCCCCGCCCCTCAGGCCCCTGTGGGCTTGGGACTAAACCGGACGCTATTTTTGTTGACCTTTGTCCATGGAAGTTCCTGCAAAATCTCATTGAAATTGGTTCATGGGTTTTGGAGAAGAAGATTTTTGAAATTTTAGTCAATTTGACCCAATTTTGCCCCGCCCCTCAGGCCCCTGGAGGCTTAGGACTAAACCGGCAACTATTTTTGTTGACCTTTGTCCATGGAAGGTTCCTGCAAAATTTCATTGAAATTGGTTCAGGGGTTTTGGAGGAGAAGATTTTTGAAATTTTAGTCAATTTGACCCAATTTTGCCCCGCCCCTCAGGCCCCTGGAGGCTTAGGACTAAACCGGCAACTATTTTTGTTGACCTTTGTCCATGGAAGGTTCCTGCAAAATTTCATTGAAATTGGTTCAGGGGTTTTGGAGAAGAAGTCGAAAATGTAAATTGTTTACGGACGCACGACGGATGACAGACAACGGACGACGGAAGACGACGGACAAAAGGCGATCGCAATAGGTCACTTGAGACTTTGTCTCAGGTGACCTAAAAAGTTTGAGCCAGGTGAGCTAAAAGTATTGGGATGGAACAATTATTTCATTGGAGGCAGCTACTCAGAACACTAGTATTAGTTCCTAACATGGTCACATATACATATTTTTCTGTTTGAAGCAACACTTACTGGTTCAAAGGGCAGGACCATGTCATCTTTGATTCCAAATTTCTCCCTCAAAGGCTGAAACAAATGATATATATATATGTTTGTACAGTCAATAATCATAAAAGGAATGTTTATACAGTCAATACACATAACAGGAATGTCTGTACAGTCAATACACATAGCAGGAATGTTAATACAGTCAATACACATAACAGGAATGTTAATACAGTCAATACACATAACAGGAATGTTAATACAGTCAATACACATAACAGGAATGTTTATACAGTCAATACAAATAGCAGGAATGTTTATACAGTCAATACACATAGCAGGAATGTTAATACAGTCAATACACATAACAGGAATGTTAATACAGTCAATACACATAATAGGAATGTTTATACAGTCAATACACATAACAGGAATGTCTGTACGGTTAATACACATAGCAGGAATGTTAATACAGTCAATACACATAACCGGAATGTGTATACAGTCAATACACATAACATGAATGTTTATACAGTCAATACACATAACAGGAATGTTTGTACAGGGAATACACATAAAAGGAATGTTTGTACAGTCAATACACATAACAGGAATGTTTATACAGTCAAAACACATAACCGGAATGTTTATACAGTCAATACACATAACAGGAATGTCTGTACGGTTAATACACATAATAGGAATGTCTGTACGGTCAATACACATAATAGGAATGTCTGTACGGTCAATACACATAATAGGAATGTCTGTACGGTTAATACACATAATAGGAATGTCTGTACGGTTAATACACATAATAGGAATGTCTGTACGGTCAATACACATAATAGGAATGTCTGTACGGTCAATACACATAATAGGAATGTCTGTACGGTTAATACACATAATAGGAATGTCTGTACGGTTAATACACATAATAGGAATGTCTGTACGGTCAATACACATAATAGGAATGTCTGTACGGTCAATACACATAATAGGAATGTCTGTACGGTTAATACACATAATAGGAATGTCTGTACCGTTAATACACATAATAGGAATGTCTGTACGGTCAATACACATAATAGGAATGTCTGTACGGTCAATACACATAATAGGAATGTCTGTACGGTTAATACACATAATAGGAATGTTAATAGAGTCAATACACATAACAGGAATGTCTGTACGGTCAATACACATAATAGGAATGTCTGTACGGTCAATACACATAATAGGAATGTTAATACAGTCAATACACATAACAGGAATGTTAATACAGTTAATACACATAGCAGCAATGTTAATACAGTCAATACACATAATAGGAATGTTAATATAGTCAATACACATAATAGGAATGTTAATACAGTCAATACACATAACAGTAATGTTAATACAGTCAATACACATAACAGGAATGCTTGTACAGGGAATACCTGTGTGTTAAGACTTAACAATACTCGTTTACCAGTGTGTTTAGACCTAACAATGCTTGTTTTCCTGCATGTTTAGACCTAACAATACTTGTTTACCAGTGTGTTTAGACCTAACAATATGTTTATACAGTCAATACACATAGCAGGAATGTTAATACAGTCAATACACAAAGCAGCAATGTTAATACAGTCAATGCACATAACAGGAATGTTAATACAGTTAATCCACATAGCAGCAATGTTAATACAGTCAATCCACATAACAGGAATGTTAATATAGTCAATACACATAACAGGAATGTTTGTACAGGGAATACCTGTGTGTTAAGACTTAACAAGACTTGTTTACCAGTGTGTTTAGACCTAACAATGCTTGTTTTCCTACACATAACAGGAATGTCTGTACAGTCAATACACATAGCAGGAATGTTAATACAGTCAATACACATAGCAGGAATGTTTGTACAGGGAATACCTGTGTGTTAAGACTTAACAATACTCGTTTACCAGTGTGTTTAGACCTAACAATATGTTTATACAGTCAATACACATAGCAGGAATGTTAATACAGTCAATACACAAAGCAGCAATGTTAATACAGTCAATACACATAACAGGAATGTTAATATAGTCAATATACATAGCAGGAATGTTTATACAGTCAATACACATAACAGGAATGTTTGTACAGGGAATACCTGTGTGTTAAGACTTAACAATACTTGTTTACCAGTGTGTTTAGACCTAACAATGCTTGTTTTCCTGCATGTTTAGACCTAACAATACTTGTTTACCAGTGTGTTAAGACCTAACAATACTTGTTTACCTGTGTGTTAAGACCTAACAATACTTGTTTACCTGTGTGTTAAGACCTAACAATACTTGTTTACCTGTGTGTTAAGACTAACAAAACTTGTTTTCCTGCATGTTCAGACCTAACAATACTTGTTTACCAGTGTGTTAAGACCTAACAATACTTGTTTACCTGTGTGTTAAGACCTAACAATACTTGTTTATCTGTGTGTTAAGACCTAACAATACTTGTTTTCCTGCATGTTCAGACCTAACAATACTTGTTTACCAGTGTGTTAAGACCTAACAATGCTTGTTTTCCTGCATGTTTAGACCTAACAATACTTGTTTACCTGTTTGTTAAGACCTAACAATACTTGTTTACCAGTGTGTTAAGACCTAACAATACTTGTTTACCTGCATGTTAAGACCTAACAATACTTGTTTACCTGTGTGTTAAGACGTAACAATACTTGTTAACCTGCATGTTTAGACCTAACAATACTTGTTTATCTGTGTGTTAAGACCTAACAATACTTGTTTACCACTGTGTTAAGACCTAACAATACTTGTTTACCAGTGTGTTAAGACCTAACAATACCTGTTTACCAGTGTGTTAAGACCTAACAATACTTGTTTACCTGCATGTTAAGACCTAACAATACTTGTTTACCTGCTTGCTTTTTAAGTCCCTTAAAGCAGCGAAGTCGTCAGGAGCATCTGATGGGACGCTGGTCACCACACCAGTTCCTGAGGTAGCAAAATACTTACAGATTTATAAAAGCACAGCAGTCATGTTAACAGAAAAAAGTCCATTGGACCTGTATTGATCGCATGTTCTTTATACTTTTGAATCTGACAAATGTTTAACTTGTCACACTAATTTGAGACAACAGTGTCACCTCAAAAAGATTCAATAAACTCGAAAAATAATGCAAAAAGAAACTCTTTATGATGGGAAATGACAGGAGGGATCCGTTGTGGACAATTTAATGCAGAGAAGCAATTTTGGATATTTGAAGTAATTTTTAAATAATCTTTATACTTCTCTATCCCAGCATGCTACTGGTCAAATAAAATCACCCAGGGATTCCTGGTAATACAGAAGTTGTTTAAAGGTTTTTACATATTTTACCTCTTTGACCTTTGAAGTAGGTCAACTTACAAGGTCATTTATTTGGGGGTAACTTCACAGCACTCCATGCCAGGTACCAACTGGCCAACTATCATCACCCTAGGCCTCCTCGTTAATCAGAAAAACTTGTTCAAAGGGTTTATACTGGGATTGTGTGATTAACTATTTGCAACCAAATTTTCACCTCAATTCAAGCTTCACTCTGACTTGAGTTTGGATCATCTATAAATTTATTGTTGTTGGAACCTGCCATTCAAACGCCTCAAAGCTTGTATTTTATGACAACTCGAAATATTTATAAGTATCTTGCCAGATTTTATATGCCACCCATAGGGTTTCCCATTGGGTGGCATAAGAAACAGGAGACCCCAGAGGCGCCCACCATCATACCATCTTCATTAGAGAGGCGCCCACCATCATACCATCTTCATTAGAGAGGCGCCCACCATTATACCATCTTCATTACAGAGGGACCCACCATCATACCATCTTCATTAGAGAGGCGCCCACCATCATACCATCTTCATTAGAGACGGACCCACCATCATACCATCTCCATTAGAGACGGACCCACCATCATATCATCTTCTCGGCGCCCACCATCATACCATCTTCTCGGCGCCCACCATCATACTATCTTTATTAGAGAGGGACCCACCATCATACCATCTTCATTAGAGAGGCACCCACCATCATACCATCTTCATTAGAGAGGCACCCACCATTATACCATCTTCATTAGAGAGGCGCCCACCATCATACCATCTTCTTTAGTTCTATGTCAGTTCGATCTTTCTCTACTTCTCTCTTATCAGTTTGATCGAGTCATGTAAACAGTAAATGCACCTTGAGGTAACTTTTGATCTAAACTTCATACTGCTGTGTCATACATGCCATAACTTTCCAGTGCAAAATAGTGAGATCAGTGATTATTGTTATTGAGATTTGGTCAAAAATAGTGAGATTTTTTTTCTGAATTACTTAAAAGTTTGTGAGACATTTAAAACAGAAAGAATATTGTATATAACATAGTTTTATCTCTTTCGTGTAGTTCTGAAGCCTCTAATTACTTTGTTGGAACCAAAATTGGAGATTTATTGATATTTCAAAGAATTTTAGGGAGGTTTACACGTGATATACAGTTCTGATATAGCTATCAACATTTAAAAGTAAACAATTATAATATTTCTATCAGAGACAAAAAATAATTATTTAAAAGAAGTAAAAATTCATGTGGGATGTCGATGTTTAACCCAGGTTATTTCCAGTACCGTTAAAACCCATGTAATTTGCGCACTTTTTTTTCCAGAAATTTAATACCCAAAGTGGGGGGGGCGTAAAATACACAGGTATAGAAAATTTCAAGTTTTTTTCAGGAAAAGATCGACGATTCTGAGAGATCGCCATCTTGGATTATGTCCCTTGGTACACGGAACTCTAAGACAAATGACGATCAACAAATTTATTTATGTCAAACATTAATAAAAGATACATAATGTGTTGTTATGTGAGTTTATGTGAAAAGTATTAATAAACGACATCTCGGTAACAAAAAAAGTAAAGCCATATTCCTATGCCAGAGAATCGCCGATCAACTTACGACATTACGTTTCGACATCTCGGTGCGTTTCCCCATACTATTACGAAATTGTAGTTGTTCAATTTAAGCTCCGTTCCATGTAAGTTCTGTAAGTTTTTTTCAAATCGCCTATGCGTATACGTCTAGCATGGTTTTTTTCCGGCTCACTTTCATGTTGATCTCGGGTCTAACATTATGTAAACACGTGATTGTTATAACCTCGTGAATTATTTCACTATTTATTAAATGAAGCATCGTAAAAATAGTCTGCGTTAACTTATTTTTTCCTTGGAGTAGATTCGAAGAGGATGTATTGATTGTCCATGCTTCTAGTATAAACATATTTTTTATAATCCCTTATCAGTCAAATCAGTCTGTAGTTATGACAATGCAGTAGGGCTTCGTAATTCACGCCACGTGTTGGCGAGTGAAAAAAACAACAACACGGTCCGTCGATCGCGACTGCAAATCATTTCAATTAGTAGAGCTATTGTTAACGGGTAATCACAGAGATAGTGTTAGCTCATTACTGCATTGTAATTTGTAAAAAAATATCGCCAAACCACGGACTTAGATAATCTAATTCCGTGGCCAAACTGAACTGTGACATGACCTGGTTTGAAGTGACGTAACCCAAGCCGCCATGATGAGCCCTTCTCACTGATCGTAATTATGATCAATAAAAGGTATCTAATTATGTCTTTCACCAGGAGATATGCACCAGCGGTTACTAAACATCGAATTACTTATTAATTGATATGTTTTTGTAAGCAAGTAAATGTTTTATGTAAAATATTGCTAAAATGAATTGATGTATGCCGATATGCACACACGTGTGTGTCATGTGTGATCAGATAATTCAAAGAAAACAAGCAACAAAATACACATTTTACGTAGTTTCTTCTTGGTTTTAAATATCATTTTACATCAATGAAAAAAAAACCATAGAAATATATTTTTTTTTTAAATATTCAGAGATCGATTTTCGGAGCATGAACATCGTTTTTTTCCAGATTTTTTTGGGTGCGCAAAATATTCGAGTAGAAGCTTTTTTCCCGATTTTCAGCCTCAAAAAGTACCTGCGCAAATTACACAGGTGCACGAATTACATGGGTTTTTATGGTATTTGTGGAAAAAAAATATAATAATACCTAAAACTTCCATTATTTTTATATAGGTAATTGTGAATCAATTTGCTTTCTTGTGTTAAGGGTATTTTTATGAACAGTTAATCCCATCCCAACGAGAGAATAAATTCCGGATTCAGTGTAAGTGTCCAGCTTTCGATTTTATAGTCAAGACTTACATTTCCGTTTGGGTAAAACCCTTCACAACTTTCACACCTATGCTGCTAATTAGTCTAGCCAGTAATTTAAGTGGCTAGCCTTGTGACTTTAAACCTCTCAGTGACCAAGGTCAGTGTGAATCCATGTAGCTATTGTTTATTCACTAAGATTGACCGAACTTTGCTTCTTTTCGTCAGACAGATTGAAATTCGTGAGAAATGTGTCTCACGCCGTGAGGAATTTTGGTGAAGTAAATTTCGTGAGTCTCACGCTCAAATCGTTAGATATGGCATGTATGCTTCATGTGTACAGAAAGGAAAATTTTTAAGATAATTTACGTCTATTCCCCTTACTAGCCTGCTCCTTTGACCCCAAGGGGGCCACACACTCCGTTTATACAACACTGATTCCCTTGGCCCAAGGATGCTCTAGATTAAATACCTTGTATCCCCAGGGCAGTAACAATAACTATTTTATACAATATAATACCAAAGTTTTACCTTCTACACAAACAATATGTGTATCAAACATGTCACAAGGTTTCAAGATTGACTGGTCCCTTTTTCAATATGACTTTCATCTCCCGTACTAAAATAATGAGTTTTAGAGCATATCTCTTAATCTCAGCCACTATTCCATACATGGGCATCAAACTTTTTATATAGGCACATGATAAGAGGGTGTTGTGTGGGATCCCAAAGGCAAGGTTACTCTGACCTCAATTTTACCCTTGACCTTGAACCCGTGTACTGAAATAATGGTTTCCAGAAATTATCTTGACGGCTGCTTGATGAATTGCCTTTAAACCTGGTTTCAGTGAAGCATATCTCAGCTGTTGTTAATAGGTCAATTTTAAGACATTTAATGCACTAGTGCAAATATGATTGGTTGTGGTCCTGTTAACCCATTGGGATTTATAACATGTAAAGAGTAGAGATACCAATGCTATACAATACAATTGCTGGGCATGAACAGTTTACACATATGCTACCACAATGGCCTATGGGTTCAGCTCCTGACCATGGGGATCATGAAATTGAAATAGTTGAAATTGCAACTCTATAATCAAACCTGACCATATTCCAGTCCTTAAAAGAGAGGCGTTGTTATTAATTTGCTTTTTTCCGGACAATTCTATTCAATTTCAATTTGCTTAAATTTATATTTGATGACAATGTAACATTATTGACAAAAGAAAACATAAACCTGTCTGCCTATTGTCTATATATACATATGTACATTTATTTTCATAAATAAATCCATGTGTTCAGTTGGTTGGGGTTGCAACCATGAAGAATATTATATATATTATGTTTAGGTTAGCTTGTAATAATAATAATAATTTGAGGTTCTTATATACCGCTTTATCACAACCTAGTTCATAGGTTGTCTCAAAGCGGTTCACAAATTATTATCCGTGAGTATAGGGCCTTTGCAATCAGCCAATATCTTTCTTAACTCCCTGGGGAGCATACAGCCGGTGGTAGTGTTGTTCCGATTAATCGATTTGGTCAACGTCTGGTTGTTTGTTTCTGAAAATCGATTAATCAATCCTTGTTTTCCATGATCGATTATAGTTTGACTAATTTAAGTACTAACAAAAATTAAACTTGGATACTGTTATTACCGCCGACAGCGAGTTGTTCGTTTTTGGGCAAAACAACTTGAACGAACGTCTCACACAACGACAACGCTGATTGGCTAGCCAGTCCACTTGACAACCAATCAGAACTTGTGTTTCAATAGAAATGCTGCATGGCTCTGTCAGTGTGTGGCAATATGGCAAACCAGGACATAATGGAGATTAAACTTTATGATCATCCGGGGGCTACTGATTTAAATGTTTGAAAGGTATTGTTTGTCCTTAGTTAGCTGTATAAACAAGCATACTGAGTATTGCTGAAGCAATACATGTCCCCTACCGGCTCCCGCAATCTATTAAGATGCAACAGTGACCTCAACCTAGATCCGAGGACCTTGAAACTTGAACTTGTCCAATATATTGAAATTTTTTGCAATAATGTGAAGTTTGACTAAAATCCATGAAAGAATGAGGCACTAGAGTGCTGACAAAGATTTTCTATTTATACTAATAGTGACCTTGACCTTGATCCGATGACCTTGAAACTCGAACTTGTCGAAGATATTTTAATTCTTTATGAGTGACTGTGTGAAGTTTAATTAAAAACCAAGAAAGAATGAAGACGCTAGAGTGCTGACAAAGTTTTTCTATTTATAGTAATAGTGACCTTGACCCTGATCCGATGACCTTGAAACTCGAACTTGTCTAAGATATTTTAATTCTTTATGACTGTGTGAAGTTTGATTAAAAACCAAGAAAGAATGAAGACGCTAGAGTGCTGACAAAGTTTTTCTATTTATAGTAATAGTGACCTTGACCTTGATCCGATGACCTTGAAACTCGAACTTGTTGAAGATATTTTAATTCTTTACATGTGTGTAAAGTTTGATTAAAATCCATGAAAGAATGAAGGCTCTAGAGTGCTGACAAACCTCTTCGGACAGACGGACAGACGGACAGTCGGACGGACGGACAGACGGAGGGGAAAACTATAGTCCCCCCCAGTTTTACCGGTAGGGGACTAATAAAACGCTTTGTCGAAAGTGTGGGCTATCTTACAAATAAAATGTTAAGTTTGACGGGGTGGTCATCAGGTGAATACCAATCCATCGCGGCATTTCTGAATACGAGATGCAGCTGTCAAAGCATAATTGACATTGCAAACATCATCAATTTCATTTCTAAATACTAATTATAAGGTTCTGTCAACAAACTTATTGTTTTTTGTATGAATGTTGTGTGTTTTTAGCGAAATTCTCTAACATCGGGGTTTCCCCGTTAACGAAATTGAAAGTAGATTTCGGAAAGCAAATATAACCTTAAATTACTGAATTTAAGTTCAATTTGATCGATCATTAGTCGATCATCAGTCACTTGATTGGAAGTGATGATCGAGTATGAATTTACAAGCGATTCCCAACACTAGCCTGCGCTGCCATTTCGGCCCTGAAAGCTAGCATTCTATAATTCTAGCACTGCCCAACCACGTGATCATTTACATCTGAGTAGACTGGAACAAGCGGTAGGGCACACCCTTCATTCATACAGAAGGAGAAATATTTTCTTCTATTTTCCCCATTATGTCAAAACCCACAGAGCAAATAAGGACCAACAGCTTTTGAAAGGGAGAAGTTAACAGACACTGTGAGCTAAAAAGCATCCCCCCTCCAACACAAACCTTTATCTTCCTTGATGGTGAGCATGGGCAGGGTGTATATGACCTTGTACTTGCTGAGAGGGCCTGCTAGAGCAACACCCATAACATCCTACAATTGAAAACAGTTCATAAACATATAACACGACAAATGTAATATAAGTATTATTAGTGTTATATGTTATATATCAGTATGACTGGTGTGGTATGTTATATATCAGT